TTGCAGATGAGCTCTTGTGCAGCAGAGGTAAGGAGCACTTGCTTGTCCAGCCGAGTTGAGCAGAGCCAGTGAAGTGATGAGGACCAGCTGGGTGACACAGGTGTTGATCAGTGCCTTGAGGACACACAGGTGGCTGCTGCCAGTGTAGAAAGCTGAGCACCCAGCTCCTGCTCTTTGTTTGAGAGGGGAAGTGGCTAGAGGCTGTTCTCTGTGTCTTCTCTCAGGGGTTGTCGGGTTTCTAGGGTCTTTTCGGTGTTTAATTATCTTTAGGATTTGGGGGCAGTCAGGGTATCTTGAATAGCATTGGATTAGTGCACAGTGCCAAAGCAGCATTTCTGGGCTGTCTCCAGCTGCAGTGTACAGAGTCTGTTCTATTGCAGCACAAGCCTCTGGCCTGGGTGCTTCCCTAGGACCCACCGGCTCCTAAGCCCTTGCTACTCGCAAAGGCAAGTGTACGTATGGTCTGTGAAAGGACAGACAGTGGCCAGCAGAGTATGAGGCGCTCAGGACTTCACTGTGTGTTGAGAAGTGTCCTGGTTTGAGCTCAGAGGGCAACTGAGCACCACACAGTGGCTTGCTCACTCCTTCCCCCTCAGGAATGGGGAGGAGAAAATGCAACAATACACCATAAGGTTCTGGATGAGACAAGGACAGGGATGGATGAGTCACTCGTTATGGTCATGTGCAAAAGACAGAGTCATCGGGAAGAAAAGGAACATCAACTGAATTTGAACACCACACCATCAACACTTGAAGCCCCACAAGAAGTGGGGGGTGACATTGAGCTAGAAGTGCTGGTGTTGATCTGGGGCAGCCAAAGGCCACTATCTATGTTCTTTGTGTCACTGGGCTGGGCCAAGGTGGTGGGTGGTGTCAGGGCAAGCTGGGCTAAAGCAGTCTTCAGCTGGTATGGAGCCCAACCTGGCAAGGGAGATAACTGACCTTTTTCTCTAGGAACAACCCCTGAGTAAACCTTTCCAGAATCAGAGCTTGGGATACCTCCCAGGGACTCTGCAGGCTGGTGAGGTCTCTTAGTTCCTGCAGACTTAAATGGTCAGAACAGGGACTCTTCAGCTTCTGGTGAGATATTAGTGCAGTTTGCTGTGCTGATTTCTTGCTGTGTTTCTCTTAACAAAAGTAGGCAGATTTAATGTTTTCTGTTATGTGTTCTTGCAAGTGCTTTCAAAACACCCTATCTGCTGGACTGTTGAAAAGAGTTTTTTCCTTCAATAACTAAACCACGAGGTTTAGTTCATTAGTTCATTTGTATTTTAATTCTTCAATCAAGTAGCGATCAGTTTAGTAGATGCAGTGTCAGCCAGTGGGACATGCCTAGGTAATCCTGGCTAAGGGGGGTTGTAGGTTTCTGTCTCACAGAATCAAAGCAAAAAGGACAGTAATGGCAGTGTCTCTAAAATGTTCTTGAAGACAGTTCAGGGAAATAGAAACAGGTGCCACAAAGCAGCAGCTCAGCAAGAACGTCAGAGACACTCCAGGTGCCACTAGCTATTTCAGCTAATAAGCTCCCCTGAGATACCTCCCTTTCTACTGCTTTTCTTTCTCACCTGATACCTGTCCATAGTTCCATAATGGCCAAGAGAATGGTTATTAATCTCCTAAGCAGAGGCCCTGACTAAGCAGTGACTCTCTGTGGTGCAAAGGAATATGTTGGTTCAGCTACTCTTTCTTAAGAGACCAGGCACAGGAAAGCCTTTAAAGAATTTACAACTAGATAGGCTGGTGCCTGTTGATGGGTTCTTCAGAAAGAGGAGTAGGATGCAGAGGAGGGCTGTGCTTGGCTGCCCTTCCTGGCTGCAGGAAGCAGAACATGCTCTCTTCACCAGCCTGAGGGGTGAATACTGCTCTGGGGCAGTAAATGCTCCCGGCAGGGTAACTGAATGGTAGTCTCCTGCTGAGGCCAAATAGGGTGAGGCCTCCATGGGGTTCAGCTTTGCTCTTCTCTGCCTATGTCCACCATGCTGGCAGGCACTTCGCCCTCTGTCATCTCATCAATGTGTCAGGCATCAAGGCATAAAGACATGAATATTCATTGTGCAAAATGGGTTTCCAATGTTGTGGTAGATTACAACATTGCTGTGATTCAATGCAGAGGAGAACGGAGAGATGTGTATAGGTGTCATTAGGGCTGATTCATTTATTGAAATGAATCTCCTGAGCATATCAACAAAACTAATGTCAATGTCCTTCTTGGGAGTGTTATACCTCTATAAAACATTATAAGGAGTCAACTGCCATGGTGTTAACTGCCCTTGGAGTTACCTGTGCTCACCTGTGCCTGTCTTAGTGGTGCAAACAACACACTGCTCCTGTTGGAGTCACCTCATCCCTAAGTCTGAATGCTGAGCAGAGCAAGCACAAGTTCTTCCTAAGACTCTCTCTTATGGAAACGAAGTGTTTCATGGGGTTATGTTTGAGCTGTCTATCTCCCTCCTAGAAGCTCAAATGTGGCAAACACAAAGGTTCATGGCTCACCAGAGCAGGGAGCTGGCAAGTCCCGCATGCTGACCCCAGACTGTAACTGCTTAGTGCTGCAAAGGAGAGAAGTCCCTCTTGGGCTCAGGTTAAAAGTACTGACCAGAAGGGGTCACGGCCAGCTCTGGTTTCCTTTGCTTTGCTGAGTCTCTTAAATAGTTGTGAATGCAAACGTGCTGTACATGCCAGTGTCTGTCTGGTACAGAAAGCTTGATGCTCCCACCAGTCTCTGTGTGGTGGGACAGGAATGACACCAAAGGGGCAAAAGGATATCTATTGCTCTTCTGATCTTTTGAAGTGATGCTGCTCAGTGTCTTGACCTGGCCAGGCCAGAATTTGTTCCTGGCAGATCTCATCTTGGCATACTTCTCAACAATGCTAGGAATGATGCATCGCCCCTTCTGATGTGCCTGCAGGCACTAGGCGCATTGCTGAGGCTTTGCCTAGCCAGATGACATCAGCCGTCTGTGTTGTATACAGCCTGAAAAAGATGAATACACTTTCTAATAACACTCTTGCTTTTCCCGTTCAGTGCTCAACCCCTATAGTGAGATTTGCTGCTGTCCTTCATTATTGCTATTCATTGTTATTTCAGGGTATGGAATCTGGTAATTGAAGTATTTCCTGGGTTAACCTCAACAAATTGCATGAGATAGTTCAGTTTTTCTTATCAACTCATTCATACTGGGGGTAATTCCTTTGCCCTAGACACTCCGAGGGTACATCTGGGACACGCTGCAATGTTACATGTTAAGTATTTGCTATGACCAGAAAGGAACTTTGCATCATGTTCTTGGTAATAGATTTATGGTGTTTCATGCTGGGTTTTGTACTGTTGATATACCAGGAGTAACAGCAAAGTCATTGCAATAATAGCAGCCACACGGGAAAAAAATAATTCTAGAAAAAATTACATTAGGAATAAATGACTGTTGAGAATTTATTTCTGGCTGGTCCCAAAGCATCATCACATCCTGAGGAATATGCCACTAGAATAAATCTTGACTATAATGAGTAAACAGTAGTAAAAAAGTGTGCGAATGTTAGGTATATTTGCATACAGATGTCAGAGCGTTTGTCATGAGCAGAACTCTGTCTTTAGAGGGTTTTCCATGGAGAAGGATGATGTCTGTCTTACCTTTCTAATGTAGAGCAAAGCTCAGCGGTGACTCTGTATGGTGAAGGGATACTGACTTAAAGGTGTGTTGCACTGGCTGTATATGCTGTCACACCGTAACATGCACTTCTCCCCACTCAAGTGCCAAAATCATTCAGCCTGGGAAAAGACAGTTCTGCTGTCTGTATCAAGAGCTGTTGCAAATTTGGTGTGTGAACAGGAATGTGACTAGACAGCAAAGCTGAAACATCTTCTGTGTGGTGGGTTGGGGCTGGCACTTTCAGGACCAGCATGAGAAATCTATGACTCTTGTCCGTTACGTCTAACATTTTCCCTAATCAGCTGCCTCTCTGTCTTGCTGCACTGGAAACACAGAGCATATTTATTGACTCTCAGCTCTCTGATCTGGTTATTATAAATCTCTGCCTTTTGGAGGTCACTGCCCCTCAATTATGAGAAACTGATCTTTCTGATTCCCAGAACTGCTCTGCAGCTATTGATCTGTTGCACTGACTTGACAAACCTGAGTGAAACATGGAGCTAAAATGTCATCCAAATATGAACTAGCTCCCTGAAATCCCTTTCTGGAAGGAAGATTGGCTGGGCAGAAGGTAGCCCAAAGAATACCTGATAAATATAAAATCCTCAGGAATCCTGCAGATTCAGGTATCAGATAAAAGCAAGCTACTGGTATCATTCATTGGAAACAGCGTTACAGCAGGGTACAGCCTGCACCTACATTTTGCCTCTGGAAGGCAGAAGTACTTCCCTTAGGAGGTACCTGACTCTCTTGAGAAGGTGCAGTGTGAAAGGGCTCCCTCACCCCAGCATCGCTCCCGTCCTTGCTGTCACCTTCAGCGGGGCCCACATGGGGGGCTTGTCCTGCCAGGGTGCTCTTGGCTCTGCCGCCTGGGACAAGGTGCCACTGTCCGTGCTGGTGCGCCCTGCGCACGTTACCAGCTCAGCAGGTGGCAACACGCTCACTTTCCTAGCAAGCAACCTCGAAGCGCTACTGCTCCAGACAGAGATGAAGTTGAGGGAGAAGCTAATTAAAACCACGGAGCCTGGCTCAGTGGCCAGTTGTTTGTCAGTGTGGGAGCGTAGGCGATGTTCTCTGCAGCTGCAGAGAACTGTTCCCCTGACACCAGGTGCAGCTGAAGGTTACATATTTCACTGTGATCTTTCAGTCCTGGTTGTATGACTGGTTATGAGGGTGGCAAGGGAGTGAAATGTTCATTTCTTGAACTCCACCAACATTCAGAAGTAAACATATATCCCTCAATTCTCTGTATCAGCTACCCAAAGCTGTAAGCTGGTGCCAAGAAAATGGGCAGAGCAAGTTCAGAAGTTAAGGAAGGACTAGCCAGGGGTTAAATGAAGGTGCACTGGCCAAAGACATAGATCAATTTATTAATTATAGTATTTTTACACTAATAAATAGTAAAGGCAGCTTATACCAATGGAAGGGTTCCCCTTTACCCTCACTTCTGGGACACCAGAGGAAGTGTGCTTGCCAGGTGGGAGGAGGGCAAGGCAGGGGGGCCAGGAGCTGCCAGAACACCGAGTCTCTGGACCGCACAGAGCATGCAGAAGTACCAGCACGGCAGGCTACCCTAAGTATCTGGCCTCTCCTCAGGCAGGGGGAGCTGCCTTTCCTGGCCCTCGTGCCCAGGGAAAAGGCTGGGACGGCTGGCATTAGCCATGCAGGGGAGTCATCGGGGGAAATCAGGCTTTCAATCAAACATATAGAATATTCTCTACAGGCTACCACATTGGCAGGATTGGCAATTCTGTATTCGGCATCCGGAACATCGATCAGAAACAGGCTTTTTCTGTATGTGTACATTGTACTGCCCCTTGTCTAACTGGGCACATGGTCAGAGCTTTTAATTAAAAAGTGAGGCACCTCTCAATGAGGAAGTGGTGCCCATTATAAATGTCTTCTATTGTGGAAAACCAGTCAAAGTCTAGTTAAGTTACATGTGCTGCATTGGGCTGCAGATAGCTGCCTTTCCAACACATGAGGATTTCCCTCAAGCATGCAAGTATCTGTGGAGGTTAAGTCTAAATTCAGATATGAAGGACTACGTATGGTTTAGATTACTTTGTAAAGCATTTTCTTGACACACCTCTACAACGTTCTTTTCTTGTCTCAGATGATTTTCTAGCCAGGCCCAGGATGGGCACACTCAAGACCTTGACAGGTCTTCAAAGATGCTGAGGATGGCTGTAGAAGTTCAGTTTGGAAAAGCCACAACACTACAATTAACTGGTGGCTCAGGCCTTGCTGCCTCCTGTAAGCCCCCTACCTGGCTTTGACCTCTGCCCCAGACCAGTGCAATCAGGCATCTGGAGTTCCCCTAAATTGTGTGTTGTGCCATATACTCCAGGACTGCTCTAATCCTGGTCAGTGCCTCCAGCTACCCCGCTCAGACACAGCGCCCAAGTACCAGATAGCCCTGGCATGAAGTGTTATGAGCAAGGTGATAAGGCAGGAGCATGCACATACAAGACAAAAAGTATTCCACATTCCCACAAAGCAGTTCACAGGCAAGGCATATGATCTGTGACCACTGTGTTGCAGCCATCCTGGGAAGGCTTGACTGGCCTTTAGAGGTGACTCCACATGGGTCAGAATCATCCCTTGCTGAAAGCAGGTTATACAGAGGTTCAGTACATGTACTGGAGGGATGGAGTCAGCAGCAGCATTATAGCATTCTCAAACCTGAAAAAAGCCCAGTAGGACACGGCATCTTCTCCCTCACCAAAGACAGGAACTGCCACAGGCTCGTTTGTTCTGTCTGGAGGCAGCAGTTACCAGATATGCTGCTGAAGCTGCAGCTCCACTGCTCAGATGTCTGCATCGCTGAGAATGAGTCCCATCCTGACAAACGTGAGGGTCTTATCACAAGCACACAAAAGCCCTGTTAATAGTCAGGTGATTATCCACATATGTACCTGAACACTTTTCCTGATCAAAGCAGGTATTCGTTGTTTAATCCCACTCTAGGCTGGCCTAAAAAAATGCTTGTACTGAATACTAGCCAGACATCTCCTCATATACACAAGCAAGGGTGGCACAGTGTGCTCCCAGCAATGCTAGTATGTGTAGCCTTTGCTGTAAAGCTGTGGAGGGAGGTTTCCAAGGTCTGGCAGGTAAGTGGCATTGTCATCCAGGTGAGAAAGAGGCACTGTGTCCTCCTCACTGATCTGCCGGTCAAACTCTGCCTTCAGAGTTGGCCGCTGATTATCAGGGAAGGCCAGAGAAAATAAGGCTTCAGGCTCACACACAAACTTGTAGACGTAGCGCTCTCCAGCCACCTGCAGGGAAGACAGGAGATGAATGCTGCAGTTACACAGGCAGTGTGAAGCAATGCTCCTCAGCAGCAGAGAAGGCTTTCAAGAACATCTGACTGCTCTAGCCCCTTGCCCTGAGACATGTCAGAGTTGTAAACTTCTTGTGCTGTCCTCCTGCTTCTCTGCTGCTTTGGTCTCCCCTGGAACAACTCCTAGTAAATGGGATGATGCCAGCTGACTCTTTGTCCAGAGAGTAATACCATCAACAGTCCCTGACCAGTCTGTACTGTGACATAATCGCACTCATAGTTACCCTCTCCAGTGCCCTGGATCTGGAAGAGACCATCCCTGCCACACAGGATCAATCTCCAGGCAGCCTTTCTCTCACCAACAGCAAGTCGAGACTGATTATAAACAAGAGGAACATCACCAAAGGCATGAAAATTCCATCTGCTTTGAAAACTGACCTTCTGCATGATGCCCTTCTCATAATAGTAGCGAAGGGATCGGCTCAGCTTGTCATAGTTCATGGCTGGACGGTTCTTTTGGATACCCCACAGCCTTGCTACCTGTAGAATAAAGCATCAAAGTGCATGAATGTCTGTGAATCCAACCCAAGGACAAAAGAATGTTATCCAGCTGATTCTCTTTTGAGGAATGGTACCACAACACATACAAAGATTTACAATATTTAAATAATAGAATCAGACAATAATTATTTAGCAGCTTTTCAACAAGAAGAGTAGAACTGGAACTGAAGCACCCTATATAACAGAGGCATTCTCCCTGCCACTACAGAGCTCATTTGCTGTTGCCACTTCTCACTATTCAGTACTCTGAAAGCTTGGGGATGCTAAGGGACTGCTTCATCCTATGCTACACTTTATCTTCAAGGATGACATTTACCAAGAACCCAAGTAGCAGGGAACACCTCTATCAGAAGTGCCTTTCTTCCTCCTACTACATGATTTTCAGCTTTCTCCATGAGACTCAGAAAGTGGTTTTAAGTGTATATCAGCCAACCAGAACAACTCATCTGCACTGAAAGTGCCCACAAAGGTTGATATATAGCAAGAACAGTGCTAAATGCAGCTCTGAGTGGAGCAAGATATGAACAGATGTTACAAACGCGTGTCCCAGATATTGTCAGGTATCACTGGGTTTTCTTGAACATGACAGCATTAGAAATTACACCTTAGTTAATGCCTTCTTGGCATAAAAACATATTTAGAATAGGACATATTTTATTCCAGATTTTTATGAAAACTTCTACAATCGGTAGGGTTCAAAACAGCAAACCTCAGTGTCAGCCTCAAGTATGGTGCTAAGAGAGCACAGGTCACTGCAAGCTTAAGAGTGAAGTGTCTAGGGAAGTGGAGGCAGTAGGCAATTTGACTCACTGCATTGCTGAGACTAAACTTACAAGCAGCCTTTCTTAAACCTGATATTTGTGTCACCCAAGTGTTTTGACCTCTTCTAAAAACCTTGACTTTCTGCAGGGTCCAGCAAGTACCACTGGTAGGCAGGAGCCTTCACAGGGCAGAGGAAAAGCCACTTGGGAATTTGCAGCATCAGAAACAGTGGCTGCTCCGCCTGAGCCTGTAGAGAAGCTAAATATTTTCACCTCTTCTGGCTCAATGAGCTTGAACTCCATCCCTCTACCAGTCCAGGCAATGAACTGGGAATTGGTTGGATCATCCAATAAAGCCACAAGAAATTGCCAGAGCTGGAGAGATCCCCGTCTCTGGTATGGAGGTCCTTCCCGGTACCCTCCAGCTTCCTGCTTGATGTCACCTGCTGAGAAGAACAAACAGCGTGTTTCTAAGGGTAACAGTATTAAAACAGCTGCAAAAACCAAGCACATTTCACAAATGTTTACCTGGGCTATGTCAGTTCACACGGAACAGAGCAGCCAATTCACCAGCAGCTCTTCCAAGAGCTCTGATGAACCTCATAATTAAGCAACTTGTTCTAGGAAGGCCTGTTTGCTGCTGAAAAAGCTCAAGAAATGGAATCCCAAAAAGCCAGGTATGAACCACAGCTAACACACCTTCAAGAACACAGTGGTACGAACTATGTAGACAGTGGTCAAGTGGCTAGCAAAGATGCTGGATAACCCTATCTTACACCTATACTGCGAGCCATTCTTTCCCCGACCTTCAAATTTTTCTGGAACAACACAGACATCATCAGTAAAGGACCTCATCTGCTTGTCATAGCTGCAGCCTGGAAGAGAAAGCAATATAGACAGTCACAGACAGAGGCAGGGTAGCACTAGAGTGCAATGCAGGGAAAAGACGACAGTCACCGAGTTTCTTACCTAATGTATCTTCTGTATTTGAATGGCTTGAGTGACTCTCAACATTTATGTACGTGGAAGGACATCCAGGAACATCTACAGAACAATTAACAAACATTTAATTAAAAAGCACAGGAGGCAGAATGCTATTGCTCTCCAGAGGTGGATAGGTAAGTGCAGCTGCCTAACCAATGTCCTCCTAAATGGTTAGTGGCAGACTGATAACTTTTTATGCCTCAGCCATCCCATCACAAATTCATCTTCATCATGCTTCCAATTATGAATTACACTACTAAATTTTTGTGGTACTATCTCATGACATCCTTCAGAGTGGTCAGGATTAGCCAGGCAGGCAGTCACCTATACACCACTCTTCATACAAAATCTTAGACAATAAGCTAAATTTGTGTGACACCTCTCACTCATCTTAGTTTAGGATAATTGTGCGCTCTACTACTGTTCTCACAGGTGAGAAGGCGTTACATTTTTCCAGGTATACTATGATGATGTTAACGGAGAGCAGCAGCATCTGAATGTTTACTACAGACAATGTCTCACAAATGTCATTTCAGGTGTCTTAGGCCTCCCTGGATTTTTCAAATCATGATAGGGCATTCTCACAAACAGTTGAGAAAAGATAAAGGCAAAAATAGCCTGAGTTTGAAAAAAATCAGGAAGTCTTTTCATGATCTCTATGCAGGATATATTATTACCTGGGCACTACATTTTCTATCTTCTCTATCTTGTGTTTTCTGAATCAAACCTGTTCTCCATCCACAGCTGAAATGGAAGCTTTGGAAAGATTTACCTTACATTTCCCTCATACTCCTGGGTATAGCCATTGCTTTCAGCAGACATTTTGCTGATGCTAAGGGCAGAAAGGTACTCTGAGCTGACAGACTGTGTATTATGACAGTTGTAAACAACTCTCACAAAAAGCATTCTTCTGGATTTGCACATTTTCTTCCCCTGTCTGGATAGAAGGACCCAGTAAAAGTGTAATATCAGCACACCCACAGTGGTGCATTCTATACCCTTACAGAAGCTTTTTATTTATGTATTTATTTCTGCTAGAGGAAACAATTCAAAATATCCCTTAAAAACCCAGGAAACCAGAAGTAACATTCCGTTCAGGTCTGCTGAAAAAATACATTTTTCCCTTGTGGAAAAATAAGAGGATTACCTGGTTGATTTGGTATCTAGTGAGCTATTTTTGAATTATAAACGTTTTTCTCTTGTGATCCTCTGAAACCTCTGCTATCTGCCCTGTGTGCCTGCCCTGTTTCTGTGAGAAATAGCAGGTGGAGGTTGACACTACAAGAGACACACTTGCACTTAGCCAAGTCAACCCCGCCCCCACGCTGCACTTAGGCCTGTCCTTGGAATTGGCCAGTTTATTGTAGCCACCCAAGTCTCTTTAGACTGTTTTACTTTTAGACTTTTACATGCATGCCTTTAATCTAGTTTGAATGGGTTTAACATTGCCTTCTAGCTTCTATATCTCGTTAAAGCTTTCCACTATCTACCAGAAAGTCCTTCTCAGAACATGGTGTGGAAAGTGAAACGTTCCCGCCTTCTCTTGGGTGCAGTAAACGGAACTGTTGGTGTTTCCTGCTACACAGCCAATTTCCCAGACCATACGCACTCCTGAAGGTGACGTAATGCTGTTTCAAAGCCCAAAGACCACCAGTGACGTGTTCACCCGGGAGGTTGCTCCCCTGCCCCTGCATTGATGCCTGGTTTCCAGATTCAGAAAGAGCTAGATCTGCCTACCTGAGTCATACATGTAGTCCACCTGCTCCTGTTTGATCACCACAGCTGCTGGGTACTGACAGCCCCTGCCCGCCCGGCTTGCTTGCTCATACCGCAGGTCGTGATACTCCTGTTTGAAGCCCTGAGGAGGGTACTGGAGGCAGGGCTCAGGTATCTGGCGCTGGTAGGCAATGGGGTCTTCCTGGGCCATGCCCTGGGAGGAAGGGAAGGAACGGCACATCTCCACAGGTGGCTGGTATGCAGAGCTAGAAGAAGGGAGAGGACAGGGGATGGCTGCTTTCTTGGCTCTCTGATCTTGGCTCTGGTGCAGGACTGGTTAAGGGACTGAAAATTCCTCAGCCTCAGACTGTTAATAGGGCTGCAGGAGCTGCCCACGTAGTTGGGGCAAGGAACAGACCTCAATGAGAGATGTTTCCAAGGGCAGCTACACAACCCATAATTCACAGAATCTGATGGGCTTAAGGTTATAGACTTCATCAAACCCTAGGCAGCAGTGGTGGGTCCGAGGTACTTTGGATGGAAGGGATGCTGTGATTGCTGGAAACTGAGCACTTTAATCCAGATGCTGCAGCCCCTCCTCCCTGAATAACCAAGCAGGGCAATCCTTCTTGCCAGTGGCTGCTTCTTCCTGGAAGTAACTCACCAGTTTTTGTTGAGGTATCCACAGCTGGATGTGGGGTGGGGTGGCCCCGCAGGGGTCAGGAAGCTCCTGTCCTGTCTAGGGAACTGTTGGAGCGGTGACTGTATCGGGGTTCCTGGGTTGGGGGACTTGATTCCAACTTGTCTGGGTTGATCATAGGCACTGGGACAGTCAAAGAGATATTGGAGCATTACAGTTCTCTGAGAAGGACTTGTGGCAGCACCTGGGGAGAACGTGTCACAGGCAGACACACTGTCCCTCTATGCAGCCACCTAGGCCAGAAAACTCTCAGCATAAAGTCCTTCTTTTCTGATTATTGGTTGCCCCCACACACAGTAGCAATAACACTTCAAGCAGAAAACTGGAGAAGGTGTCTGTACTGAAGAAGCCATACTATAACTCAGGCAAGTAGCTGGGATTGGGAGCAATGGTGTCAGGGAACATCTTGTGGGACAGACTTTGGAAAGCAATGGGGAGAGAGGCACATGACAGATGTCAAGATTGCTCTCAGCATCAGGACAGCTGAGGAACAGCACTAGGAAGAAGTAAAAAGACGCAAGCCCAGATCTACTCTACACAGGTCTGAGCTATCCAGTGCAATAAATGGCAGTCTGAACAGGCTGCCATAAGCTGACTCACTGGTTAATTTGTAGTGCAGCAGGTGTGCACTGTCCTTACCCAGCAGACAGACCAGATTGTTGTCATAACAGTTCATTATTAGGTAATGCAGTAGAACTTGATTTCATAACAGCTCCTGTCCCTCCCCTGTATAGGCCGTGTTACCTGGCATAAAGGCACTGCTCGCCATTGTGGTACTGGAATGGCTGCTTATGGTTGCAGGACAGTGTGGGGTCCGAGGAGGGACTCTGTGGCTCCTTTTTAATCTTAGCAGGACTGTGAAAAGCTACTGTGGGAGAGAAATGAAAGATCAGGTTGACACTTTTCTTGTTTATGGAAAGATATTTTTATCAACCAATAGAAAGTCAGTTAGGATGCCACCACTTTGTCCTTGTTCATCTGACTCGAAGAGTAAAAAAAAAAAGCCCAATACTCACAACTGTTCACTGGACTTTCATGAGATCTGCCCTTGATTTAGTAAGGTTTTTATTATACATCAACCTTAAAAGAGCAAATCTAAGGTAGTGTTAACATCCTCTGTGTTAATCCAGAGCACTTTAAAAAGGATTTAGAGTGGGTATTTCCTAAGGTGTTCAGGGCTGGGGCATACGTTTTCTGTTATGTCATCAGGGGTAGCATTCGCAGATACTATTTTTCAAAACATAAAAGCAAAGTTTTGATTTGCATCATGCAAAATGCTCTTCAGTGACATGCCTGGTAAGCATGTGTTGTGAGTAACATTACCATGTAGCACTGCATTAAATTATAATGCACTGATATGATTGTAGATTTCCTGATAGTATAATTTGTCCTGTAGGACAATAAATGTAAGGCTTTTGTAAACATAGCTACAGAAGCTGAAGTTTTTCTGTGGGAAAATACTATAATATGTATTTCATACTATTACAGGCTGTCACCAGGCTAACTTGCTCACAGACATCTTACACAAGTAGTGTTTTCAAAAGCACCTAACCAATTTAGATAGCTAAAATCCCTTTTCCAAAGGAACTGCATTAGTGTTAAAACACAGTACAAAGCAAAAATCTGATTTCCAAGTCCTTGCTTTCACTATAATATGCCTTAAATTTTGAAGAACAGCTTGCAGTCTTCTTGGTAGACTCTCTCTGAAGTATCTAATTTTTTAAATTGTATCAGGTTTATACTTCAGCACACAGGAAAAAGGCCCAGCCCTTCTACAGGATACTGTGATTCCTGCACAGGAGGCTGCCATGCTGGCACTCAGTAGCTACCCAGATAAATTCCAAAGGCAGGTTTCCCTTTGTTGAGTCTCTTGTATGTTAACAGTCCAACATTCCTGAATGTGCAATTGGGGTAATCTCGTAACTGCTCTGCTCATCCAAAATGCCAGTGACAGTCCAGGAAAAAAGTAAAAAGTTTCCTTCAGCCCATCAGTCTGTGGTCATGGCCTGATGCAGACAGGAGGGATATTTCTGGGCTGGTTAGAATTTCATGAATAACAAATGCGCGTTGCAGTTTAGAGCACCGGGAAGTAGGATGTGGGTATTGTTACTTCCTATACTTAATTAAATCCAGCAGGGAGCAAAACTTCCTTCGCTAGTTCCTCAGAAAAGCTTATCCTGGCTGAAGGACATGGTAAGCATCTTCTACCTTTGCCTCTGGGCTCTGTTGCTGCTGTTAGGAGATCACTGACATTTAGGAAGGAAAGTAACCTCAGAAATCTACATAGGTCTAGGCTTGTTTTTCAAACAAGGGAAGGGTCTGCCCTCCAAACCAAAACTGTGAGCTTTTAAAAATGCTAGCTCTAGTCCTCCTTTGCCAGCTTACTCCCACCTCTTCAAGCTCATGTGATGCTGCTTACAAAGCCTGAAACGTTTAGAGCTGTGATTACAGTTTTAAGGGTGGAAAGTAACATCCTGATCTGTTAATATCTCATATTTTTGTTAAGTTTATTTCAGGACTGTCCTGAACAGTATGTGCACCAGCCATCCTGAAGCCACTTCTCCCTCACATAAAGGGCTAATTGTCCCTTCAGAAGTGCTGCATCAAGCAGCTAGCAAAAGGGCTGGAGAAAGGGCTGCTGCTATCTCTCTTAGCTCAGGATATTAAGGCCACTTTCTATTGTGAACATTCCCCCCCCCCCCCCCCCCCCAATTAATTTTCTCATCAGGAGGGGGGGAAAAAAAAAGCCCCAAAACCTGACTCCTTTTGCCTGTTTTTGGGTTCAGCCTACACCTGAAAGCCCATCTTTGCACCACATCAGCACTCAAAGGGATCCAAACAGCTTGACAGAATCAATCGAAATAAATAAATCCATAAGATACCAGAGCATCATATTATTTCTGACTCTTATGCCTTCTCAGGTCCAAGTGGTTCCTGCAGCCAGTCCTGGCACTGTCATCAATCACAGCGGAGGGGCCTGTTCACAAACAGCTCTTGGCACTGTCCAGACTGATGGCAGGTGTGAGTGTGCTGACCCAGCAGGCCTGCCCTACACCTGGGATGGATTCAGTATCCAAAGCATGACACTCCTGCATCTGTGCAAACACCCCAAGCCCAGGGAAGGGTCAAAAGAGAAAAGGGTCTTTCTATGCCCAGAGCATCCATTTCCCTTCTGTCTGCAGCAGCTCTTTTCAATGTATGGAGTAAACAGATATACAGAACCCATCTAAAAATGCCAACCTGTCGGCTGTGTCTCAGGGAGGGGAAAAAAAAATAAATTGCTCTGTCCAGTACACTAAACTCCAGTGAAGTTTCAAGAAGCTAGATGTCCTAGGAGCAACTAATTCTTTCCAGCCCCTAATAGCTGAAACAGGCTACCACATTACAACTGGCTCATTCATTCATTCATAGTGAACACAGGACCAGCCCTCTCTTCAGTTCTAGGACAAAAAGAGGAAGAAACAAGATATATGATTTAGAAAGCAAGCCCAGCTATGCTGCAGGGCCAAGTCCAGGGAAAGAAGGTAGACAAGAACAACCAGTAAAAGTGCTTCATTTTAGTTTTCATGGGGAAAACTACCCTGGGCAGAGAGGGGTATCAGCATAGGAAGGGCACCAAAGTTGAATGAACCAGCTTTAAACAGACTACTCTCAGTTAGCTGCCAGACATTTTTATGCCCAGGGAATGGTAAGGCATCTTCTTGTAGCCTTGACGTGCCTGTCAAAAGTCAGGCTCTAGGTTCCTGCAGCTGCTTGCAACACCGAGCTATTCAGAACAACCTGTATTCACTTCAGGCATGTAGTCTTAGTCCAGCATCAGCTTCCAAATCAAAGTGGCATGCCGTGAGGACCAGCTGAAATAGGTCCAGCGCGAGAAAAGCAGAAAGAGTTGCATGGCCATGGTGTGAAAGGTTGTACCTGTCCTGTACCATTCGGCTCCTTTGTAAGGTGAACTGCTTTGACCAGTTTTCAGAGCAAACATTTGTGGTACAGTCTGTACACTCCTGTGCAAACACATGAAATCTGTTCAGTGGACAGTTCCTAAGAACAAGGAGGATGCAGGCTAGCCAGCATCTCCCTTCAGGGATGCTGTGCCCTCATTCTGTGGCAGGCAGCAAACATGACCATCATCTCACAGAGACCATACTGGCAGCAGATGCTCAGCTAGAGGCCATGCAGGTGAGCAAAGCCCCAAAAATGCACCTGCAGGAGACACAGCACCTATAATTTCATGTACATCCCTCTTTCTTTTGCTTTGGGAGGAGTATTAGCACAAATTTTACCTTTGATCATCAGAGTAATGCATTCTCAGCTTTTCAGGGGTGCCTCATTAATCACACATCAACTAAAACACACATCTGTTGAAACCACTCTGCATAAGGGACTGTGGAAGTTACCACCACACAAAGATACTTTTGCATTGTCCAGCTGTTGTCCCTCAAACAGTGTTTCTTACCCGGTTTGCAAAAGCCAAGCTCACACTCAGAACCAAGATATCAGTTTATTCCATAGTTGTGCAAAGTTGGGTGCTAGGCGATAATTCCACAAGGCTAGCATACTACACAAGGTGACTACAGCCTATTTATCCTATTATGTGATTAGTAAAACCCTAAATTTACATTCATTGGTCTGTAATTATCACTCCATCTGCTACTGGTTAGTTATATTTGAATTATCCTCACTTGCTCCTCACAGGTGTGGGAAGCAAATTCCACCAGATTATTTTTTTGCTGATTTAGTGCTTCTTGGGCAATCATCCAGTTTCTGGCACCTTCTGGGGCTGCATGCTTACCTCTTATCAGTCTCTTATGTCCTCCGATGGTGAAGTCCTCAGCAAGGCCTGGATCCTATCAGGCTTACACAGTGAGCCACAAAGTATCAGGCTTACACAATGGGGCCAGTGATTAGTGGTCCTTGTGCTTGGTGAGAAACACTTGTATGGGCTACAAGGCTAAACGGATGTGGACAGTTAGCCTGTTCTTTTTTGTCACAATCACAGCAATGTAGAAGCAAAATGAGTACTTTAGCCTCACTGTCTGTGTGTTGCATTTATGTATTTGTTTGGTTTAAGTGTATCCTGCCCTTCTCCCCTGAGATGTGTTATCACCCCCACGCTACTTACAGTTTTCTGAATGAAAGTCAGGCACAAATTGCTCATCGCTGTCTGGAACCTGAGCTGCCAGGGGAGTGAGGGAAGGAGGGGGGAGAGAGAGAGAGGAGAATTAGATTTGGCACTTTGTATGATATAATTAACAGTAAAGCAGAAATAAGTCTACGCAGGAAAGATCTGAGCTTTCTGATGGGATGCACTTTAGTGACTAAGGATAGTTTCCCTTTGGGATTAATGAATACAGTTCTGCTTGCAGATTTACCCCTTAAGAGCCTGCCAGTTTCTTTCTCCCTTAGCTTGGAAATAAGGACAACAGCAAGTTTATTAGCTTGGAAATAAGGACAACAGCAAGTTTATTAGCTCAGTATTCAAAGTTTTTGTTAGAAACATAACATGCAGGGAATTTTAAGTCTTCAGCATAGGAAAAACAACTCTCAACTGATAAATTTGGAAAGGCTATACCACAGTGATGAGTAGAACAGGAAACATCTATTCCTGCATATACAATTTTTTCAGCAGCTCCAGAAGCAGTGGTTAGCTTGGCACTAGTGGAATAGGCTACAATTTGTAAATCAGCAGGAAAAAAAAAAAAAAGGTTAACTGGTAGCAGGAAAGGAAAATGGTTAATAGTGCCTTGCATGTATGTACAATTTCACAAATGGGAAATATAAGAGCAAGTGCTGATGATAGTCAGAGAACCTGACAGCAAACAGCTGCTCTTTCCGCACAAATCAGTACAATAAAGCTTTTTTCTAGCCATCTGCCCTGTGGACAGAATTGTTAGTACATCTCCAAGAGTAACAGCAAGGTCTAATATATTTGAATATTTCAAAGGCTGTTTAATAAAGATATCAGAAAAATCTGCAGAGGCCTCATTTTCCTTGGAACAGCCTACCTCACTGGAACAAGATGTTGCTGAATGCGGTAAGCAGTGAAATAGTTAACAACATTAGCATCTCAATGTTAAGAAGCTTCAGGCTTAATGCCTCCTTTAGACAAACTGGTGAGGCTCATGTGTGTCTGCTGACTTGAAAAGTCAGCAGCACACTTTGTAAGTTGATGCCTCTTCATATCTCAGGGGAGTCATATTTATTCTGATTTACATGAAAGACTAGACTTTACAAAAGCTGTAAAGCCCACATGGATAGAGTTTCCCACAGCATCCAAAATGGAGATACTAGAAGAGTCTTTCACCACGCAGTTCGCAGTAGGTTCCATCACTTCCTGGAGTAAATAGTTATTTTAAATTAAAACTTAAAATATGAGAATTATTCTTCCTGTGATGCTGATGAAAGATGTAACTGTGGTTGGAAGCTGGCATCTGGTGAAGTCTGGCAGCTGTGCTGAACGTTCTGGCATCATTCATGTGAATTCCTCCTCTGCCTATAGATAGCTGCCTGCCTTTTCTGATCTCCAGCTTAGATCATTCTGTTCATGGATCACCAACCACAATGTAGCCTTATCCCACGTTTGAGTTGCATTGAAGCCATTGTAAAATATATATCACAAATCAATGAAATTGTCCTTTTTCACCTAAAGATTGACTCAGCAAGGTACATAGGTGTGTCCTTGAGAGATTATTCCAATATACAAAAAACCCCAAATGTTATAATAGTCTGTAATGCTATTTTACTAAAATTCTTGTCTTGAAGCTCTACATGTAATTAGTGCTTTTCTAATTTCACAGAGGGATCAGCTATACATAGTCTCCTCTAGCCCCTGCTTCCCTTATTTGCTGAGGAAAGCTTTAACCAACATTGCCCTTGCACATTCACAGGGGGGAACGATTCATTCAGATTTTCCAACTGTAAATATAATTGTGCATGCTTGTCCCATTCTGCAAGATGGTTTGTGCCTATTTTTCCTTTGCAAGAGCTATACAAGCAAGACTGAACAGTACTCTTGGACAGCCTACACAGCCTAGAATGTATGGTTTTGTTGAAGCACATCTCAATCAAATCCTTAAGCAATAGTACAGCAAAGCAAGTGATCCAATCTAGCTTTCCCCCTGACAGCAGCATCTGTATTTATTTGCATTCTTTCCTAACACAGAAAGAAAAGGTGTTAAGGAAGCAAGAGAAGCACACCATCCTTATGTCCAGAATACATTACTAAACAGGATTTAGCCTGTATTTTACTACACAGCTATTTCTTTTTCCATTATTCAGAGCCTAGCTCAGGTACGGCCTCAGTCCATCTCCTGAGCAGTTCTCCATTACCCAGAGACAGCAACTAACAGGGTAAATTCAGGTCTGACAAAGAACTAAGATTTTGGGTGTGCCCTGGGATAAACTGTGGGGAGAACCTTAACCATAGCACATGTTGTGTTAGAATATTTTATTACTTCTAATGATTACTTTTATGCCCCTTTTACTGCAGGGAAGGAGAGCTTGCAACAGATTGTTATTTCACAACATCTCTCACAAGCTATTACTGAAAGACGTGCTGCTGCTTATACATAACAGACAAACCTAGAGTTTTTGTCATTGCAGAGTGGACAAAAGATTACACTCTCAGCTATAAAGCAAAGGGGATGTAGTCAAAGTAAAGGGACATGAGGAATGGAAGGCCACTAATCTCGGTCACTTGAAGCTAAACTAGACAAGACATGCCAAAAATAAACCTTAGGGAATAACACTGCATTAACAACATGCAGTGGCTTAGAGTGAAATTACCCAAACTCTTTGCACTGCAATCACTGTTCCTTAAAATAACCTGTATGACAACAAACTGGAAATATAAATGATAAAAGGTAGAGAACAGGAAAAAACCACCCCAAATTAAACACCCTACAAAATTAATTTTATGCATTATTTTTAAAAAACAGCACTGTAATAAAAGAAATAACAGGGATCACACTGTATGAGCTGAATTTGGATTTTAGTCTACTGCCTTGAGGCTACTACTGTTGAATTGATGACAATCCCCCTAAGAGAATTACGTGTTAAAAGCAATAGACCAGAGACAAGATGTGAAATGAGGGGCATGGCTGGAGTTGGAGCACGCAGCCTCACTGCTGGACAGTGATGCTTGCAGACAGCTGCAATCCTGTACTAAAAGGCTGAAGTGCCAGTTGAAATACTAAATTTGTGTTTTAATTATCTACTTCATATATTTGCAATACAAATAGACATTTTCTTGTTCTTCCCAAACCAGCCTCTATACTTAAAATAACTGGGATACCTAATCAGACATTTAAAGCACAACCCCAGGCTTTAGTCACTCAGACTACGTGCATCAACATGTGCCTCACCATTTCCCACACCGTTTTCAAGATCTGGAGCTCCGTAACAAAAACTTTCTGACTAAGAATACACAAAGTGCATCTCTCCTCCTTGCAATCAGCAGCGATAACAACCCGTGAAACTTTTCTCAGAGGAAGTTTTTGCTATTTTCTGAATGCCAAATGACTTTTATAAGTTATTTGGCTTGAAATTAGTTCCATACAGTTATCAACTACTAGCCTCACATCACTGAATTCTAATAGATTCTGGTAAAAATGTTGCAGAGAAAAACTTTAAGTTTTTTAGTAACAAGACCTAGGACTTTTTGGCATCTGTTTCTTTTGGGAGTCATCTATGGGCAGATATTATTCTTTTACCCTGAACAGGAGAAACCACATGTTAATTGATACTATTAAAAATATATAGACACAGATACATACATGTATATGTGGTTTAAATTTGTTAAAATTTTCATATGGCTGATCGTTTGTCATGACTTTATATTTACAGTTTGCTTCCTTACTAGGTTTGTTTCTCTTATTTGAAAAGTAACACCAAAAACTGTAAATAAAACAGTAAAATAAAATAGCTAGATTAAAAACTGTAAATAAACCAGTAAAATAAAATAGCTAGATTTCTTAACTGAATGTGGTAGAGACAGAATAAATAACACATTTCATATTTTCACTTTTTCTTATGCATTCTTTAGGAAGGTACTCTTAAATTTTTGGTTGCCCTCACCTCATGAACAAATGCTAACATATAGACATGTACAAGACATTAATAAAAAAATTAGTTTCACTGTTCAGGAAAATAATTTGACATACTGGTGAATACAAAAAAACAAATGACAGTTTGCTTCAGAGGGCAACTTTTCTTGTTAAAAGTCAGGAAATGGGAGTCACCATGGGAGAAAGTAGTTCCCCATATATGTGATCTAAAATCATAAACTAGAATATTAAAACATGTATTGAAATTTTCCAGAGATTTCATTTAGACTGACTAGATGTTATGAGCTATACAAAAAAAAAGATAGCAACCTATATTGTAAAAACATGCAATAGCGTTTGCATAATCATTTACTGATCATGTATAATAGCAGATTACTTCTTTCTACACGTTGTTATGAGACCATGTACAACCTTCCTTTCACCCCAAGGTACTTATGAATTAATTCTACAAACACTCTGCTACAAACATATTTTATGCAAATTATTTAGATTAGTGAGATAAAAATGTAATTAGTACTTATTTTTCTGCTCTAAGTAAGGTGTTTCAACCCTTCAACAGCCTCCAGGTAATTCCTTTTGCATCCTTACAATCCTCTTACTCCTGAACACTGTCTGATCAATGTAATTTAATTTCAGTTTGAAATGAACATAAAACATTTGAGTTTTGTTTGTTTGTTTGTTTGCTTGTTTTTTTCCCCTTAATAGTCTTACTTAGTTGGCAAATACCTTTTTGGAAGCTTAAAAAAAGCACTGTTTGACAGGATTGTCCTTCACTTGTGGTTAAACTAGGGGAAATAACCCTGCTCAAAATGCCATGCATATTTTTATATTATTATTTTAAAATATTTGTTAAGTACCTATATCACAGTAAGTCCTTTTACATTTATCAAGAGTCTGTACTTGAGGATATGTTTTGAATTGTCTAGTAAACAGATCATTTGTAGTACTGGAATTAGAGCAAATTTGCCGTATTGTTTAAAACTAGTTTCACTTCGAATTAACAGGACTCCCTGAGATTTGAAGTTTTCTCTTCCTTGAAGTAAAAAGGCAGAACAATTTAGACACCAAACTGAACAGTGTGTAAATTGCAGGAAGGTTGCTTCAAAGAATTATCTTAAAAAAAAAAAAAAAAAAAAAAAAGAAACAAAAAGTTGGAGGCACTTTGTTCCCCAAATTAAAGGAATGGTTTATTGTTTGTTTAAGGAAATATCAACGTTATGGCAACTAACAAAGTGACAAATTAGCATAAAATCGGACCAGTTACAAGTAGCCTGAAACGAAAATTGTAACCAGGAAAGCGGGCTAACTGCCAAGTCCCATTCATAAGCAAATACCCAGTACAATAGCGTGATTCATGCTTTTTCATTTACGCAAGCCAGAGGTTGGCAAGTCTGAAAAAAAAGAAAACACTTAATGTTTGGAGCTAGGCAAACAAAGCAAAGGAGCAGTACAAACATCAAAAGACAAACAACTGAAAGACGAACAAAACAGAACAGAGTAAGGGGAAGGAGCCTACCTTCTGTCAGCCAAGTCTCCTGGAACTGGCTCAAGTCCTGGAAGAGGTCTGCATGAAAAACGAGAGGTTTCTTAGTGGAGCGCTGGGGAGGGACGTCAGGATGCTCCCGCGACGGAGATGCCGGACAGAACGAGGAGGTGGGGGCGGAGGCGCGGGGGGAGGACCCGGTTCCTGCCCAGAAACCTTCACCATCCCCATCCATCCCTTCACCCCTTTCCGCCACTCACCTTCCGAATCCTGCGCCGGCGGCAAGCGCGGGTCCCCGGGTCTCTTTCTAGCGCACATCGGAGCTCCGCCGCCGGGAGCCGCCTGGCCCGGAGGCTGCGGCGGAAAGAGCGCATCAGCGCGGGGTCCCGGGGGGGAGCGGGCCCCAGCCGGGAGCGCCCCGCCCCGCGGAGCTGCCACTCACCTGCGGGAAAGTGAAGGGCACCTGCTGGTCCAGGTACCCCTTCATCCTGCCGCCCTGCGCTGCTTCCGCGGGCGCGGGACGGCCGGCTCTCGGCGGGCGCCTGGGGAAGGCACAGGGGGAAGGTCGCGGCGGGCCGGGGCGGCCCCCACCTACCGAGGTCAGCGGCCACGGCGGGACAGCCCGCCCGCCGCCCCGGCCGACGAGCGGGCAGCGAGACCGGCACGGCTCCCCGGCACTCCCGCCGCCCCGAGCGGCGGCTGCCGCGCCGCAGAAACTTGGGATGCGAGGCGGGACGAGCCCCCGCCGCCCCGGGCCAGCGGCCCCCGCCCCGGCGGGTCCCCGGTCCTCACCCGGTGGCGGCGCGCGGCCCACGCGGAGCCCGGAGCGGCCCAGCCCCGCCCCGCCCCGCCCCGCCCGCGCGCTCAGGCCTCCGTGGGCCCGGGGGCAGCCTCCCATTGGCGCATCGCCTCGCTCCCGGGCTCGGCTCGCATGCTCCTTTGTTTCACCGAATTTGTGAATGAAGCTCTGGGCTGGGACACGCCCGCCAATCCCAGCTCTTTTTGGCCCTCACCCAGTAAAAAGTGGGAGTAGCTTTAGCCCTCAGGGCCAATCAGATCGCAGTACTCCAGTATTCATTCAAGGACAGCGCTCCCATTCATAAAAAAATCGTCCCGAAGTTCATTCACCTAAGACTGCAAAGGCGCTCCAACTGTGCCTAGCGTGCATGGAAGAAGTATGCTCAGCATGCACTTTCAGACTCCCACCCAGGGTGGCACACGACCAGGCCTGTCCGTTCTCATGCATGCTACAGTCATTTTAAAACAGTCGTCAGCTATGTTCAGTTCTGTTATGGGGAAGTGCATTAGCTTTCACAAGATTTGGAAAAATTCTCGCTCATGCATCTGGAGTGAAAATAATTAAAGCCCTGGCTACCAAAATCGGTTTTGCTCTTACAAATGTTAAGGGACAAGAATATAAAATAAAAATCTAGTCCTGGGATTTGCACATCAAAAAAGTGGTTTTGCCTGCTTTTGTGCATGTCAGGTGGAGCCTTCTGTGCCATATGCACGTATCCTGTTATTTTTTTTTTTTTTCAAATTTCTCCTTTAACGCTCCATGATTATATTTAGCATTTATTGATTTTATTTATCCTACAAAAAGTATCAGTAACAGTGGGTACCCGGCAACAATAAAGTATTAATTAATGGAATTGTGATCTCCTGGAAGACAAGTAGCTGCTTAAGAGAAAAAGAAGGAAAGGGGAAGTTATCCCTAAGGCTAAATGGAAACTGTACATTTTTGACATGTTGTCTCTAATAGCTAACATCACCAGTTTGATGTACTGATATGGTTACTATGAAAGGGGTATCTGTTATGCAGAATAACATGTTTAAGTATTTACTCAATACTTATTTTGATCTTTCTGCTAGCAGCCTACAGCTCCAACATTCCCAGGACCCTAGTCTGTCAGGAAACCTAACTGAAACAGTTCAGACCTCTCTAAGGGAGCAGAATGAAAACATGCTGACTGTCAGGATGTTTACATCCAGCAACTGGTCCCACATCCCTAAACATTGTAGACATGTGGTTAAATGCAGCATTGGAACTTGAACTTAATCTGCTTTGAGAAGATCACTGAAGCGCGTGAATTAATCTTCTGAATTTACAGTTTTACTGAATTTGTTTCTGCTCCATATATTTTTGTAACAATCTATTCAGGCTACTAATTTTGATCTAGTTTTATTGGAGAACAGGAAAAGAAAAATTTTTCTGGTTAGATTGTTGGGCAATTTATACTTTAAGTGTTTTATAAAGTCTATCTCACACTTTGCACTTTTACCTATACATATATAGCAGAATGGCAGTTTGATTCCCAGTTGTTAGTGCTACATTTCCTGGTTAAGAGATGATGGAACCTTTGTTATTTTAGATCTGATTTTAATGTATGGCTGTGCTCTGGACTCTAAACTGGATGGAATTTTCTACTGTAACATTTGGTTACTTTATGATGTTCTAATTTCCCATCCAGCTGGCAGTAACAGAACTGCTGATGTAGGAGGAGCCTTAGGTTTCAGCACTGTGAAGAGGGACTAGAGACTCAAGACTCTTTAGAGTACAAGCCTCATAAGGAGTGGCTGAGGTGATTTGGGTTGTTTTAGTCTGGAGAAAAGGAAGCTCAGGGGAGACCTTATCACTCTCTACAACTACCTGAATGGAGGTTGTAGCGAGGTGGGTGTTGGTCTCTTCCCGAGTAACAAGTGATAGTACAAGAGGAAACAACCTCAAGCTGCACCAGGGGAGATTTAGTCTGGATATTAGAAAAAATTTCTTCACTGAAAGGGTTATCAAGCATTGGAACAGGCTGCCCAGGGAAGTGGTTGAGTCACCATCCCTGAAGGTATTTAAAAGACATGTAGATGTAGCATTTGGGGACATGGTTTAGTGGTGGACTTGGTAGTGGTAGATTTATGGTTAGACTCGATGATCTTACAGGTCTTTTCCAACCTAAATGATTTTATGATTCTATGATTCCTGGTCAGAGTCATCACTATATTTCATGAGTGCATATATGTGAATGAAAAAGCAGAAGGGCACAGTGTAGATATGAGCTACAGTGACTGGCTGCATGCATTTGACATAGCAAATACACCATTTGTACTAACCAGGCAGTAATGTTTTTTGGGGGTTTTTTGTGTTTTTTTTTTTTTTTTAGTTGTTTGTTTTGGTTTGGTTTTGTTTGTTTGTTTGTTTTTGTTGTTTTTTTTTTTTTTTTTTTTTTGTGACTGAGATGTGTTGCCAGAACTATCAATTACTTTGTCTATTTATTTGAATTAAATTAAGATCAACTCATCCCCATTTGTATTGGGACTTTTCTGTAATGTGAATGTATATACATATTTACACATGTATGTGTATTTATGTCTGTGCATACTTATGTAGGATACCTGAAATTTTCCTGACACCCGTAAAAGTACTCTACAGAAGATGAACAACATACAAGTTTTTTTTTGAGGGCTGCACAGAGGCAAGATCTGGGATAAACTTTGCAGGTTTTTTATTTCATTTGAGCCTGTGAAAAATGCCATACAGCCTAATCAGAAGGACGGTACTAATTAGGACTATATATACTGGCCACTGAAGGGAAAATCACTGAGATCTTGGGGCTTCCAGGTCAAAACATGTTATTATAACCTTTATGTTATTGTAGCTCTTTTTCTCCTTCAAACCCAGACTTGTAGAGTGGATTCAGATTTTTGTATCTTTGGTTTATCAAAGCAATTTATTAGCAGTAAAAATCTGGAAAGATTGAATTCCAAATGCTAAGAAGGTTATAAAGCAAATGGACATATGGAACTAGATTGCTAAATTTTTCATTTAAAGTATCTCATGATTTTGAGTCAGTCTCAAGAGATTTGGGGAAGGGTTTGTTTTTCTAGTTTCAATTAGCAGGGTTTGACATTAATATAAACTGATATATTGTTCCTTTTGTCTCTAGGAAACATTGTGGCTCCACCAAGTAGGGCCCAATAGGCTACTTCTGAGTTCCAGCATCCAGGCAGCAATTAGTGATAAAGAGAGAAGAAGCATAAAATTCACAAAACCAGAAAAATATTTTTCCTCTACTGGTCTGGGAAACTTAGTCCAATTATATGACACACTTCACTTACATTAGGAGGTCTTAGACTGAAACAAAAAGTACATAGTACATCACCTTAAAAGCAAAGAAACCATTAAGGAGCAGTACAAGAGATGCAGTAATAGAATGGGGCAATAATTATCATGGCACAGCTGATCTTGATGGTGAGTTAAGTATCACAAGGTGAAACTGATGCTGCTGATTATGAACAAGGCTGGTGTCTCCTTTATCTCTTGATGACAACAACAGCCTTGGGGAATGAATCAGGCTTTAAATCAGTTTGCCTGCTCGCTTGTTTCTTTTTGGGTCCTGTGCTTTTTTTTTTTTTTTTTCAGTGATCTATATGAATCCTTTCTTCAGTTTTCAAAAAATTGAGATAGTAAAAATATTATTAGTTAATAATTTGGAGGATACAGTGTTTATAAATAAGGTTTATAAGGAAGGCTTGGATTCCTGGGAAAGCTGCTGAATTTGTATCAGGAAATATTTGGGATGAGCAAAAGTTAGTAGAAGCTACAAATAACAAATCACGTAGACTGCTTGCTTGATAGCTTTTCCTCTGTTCCTCATGTGCTTGTACAAATATGTCATGTTTGTTTTCAAAGGCCAACTAATCAGGCCTGGTAATGTGATTCTGGAGTTTCTCTTTGTAGGCTCAGCAGTTAATGTTCAGGGTGCTTAATTATCTTCTACTATTTTTTTTTTTTTTCCTATGGTGCAGAGTGGGTGAAGAGCTCAGCTCACAAACCAGAGGGGAACTGATTCTTGCTTATGAAGTATTAGCAATAGATTTATTCCAACACTGTAATCCATGCTGCCTGAGATGTTTCTTCCCTGGGCTTATAGCTTATTCTTCTTAATTACCAATTGAGTTATGTGCCTTCTCCTTCCCCTCCTGTGTCCATTCTCATGATTTAACTGTGTCCATCTATTTTACTGGTTCAAGAAAATCCAGTCCTGAGTTTTAGACGCATCCCCTGCAGTATGCACTAGCAATGGTTATGTAACCGATACGGTTAGTGCAATGCGAAGCTCCCAGTGATAAATCCTGACACAAACAGGAATAAATGGCAAACGTCTTAAAAAATGACAAACTGGAAGTTTAAAAACCTTTCTGTACTCTAGAATGGAGTGTGACCAAACCTGAAGTTTTATAAAAACACTAGTAAAGAAAGAACTGGATGAAGAGCTCAGATTTCTTAACAACAGGCATGAAATTAGCTTAGCCATTCCTCAGTACCCTGTTGTTCCTTGGACAGGAATGTTACAAATAAGGTGCTGAGTCTAGACACTGACTATTGATATTAGTCATCTTTGCCTACTAAGGTGATGACCTGAGAAAACACAAAAATTCTGTTACTGGAAACACCTGCCAAATAGTTGTGTGCAGTTCCAACTCAACTTCACTAATTACAGTGTGCAAAGAAGAGTCTAGGAAGAAGCAGCATGTTCCCTGAGCTGTCCTAATCCTGTTTTCTCAGTCACTGCTTCTTTGTCTCTTGCTGTCTGGCATGTGACAGGAGACATCAAGATAGTTTCTTGCACTGTAGAGAAGCAAAATGCAGAGATTGCAAACCGAAGGAAGCATCATTTTGTCCTGGGTTGAGTGAGTGTTGGAGTTTTTTGGTGGCAGGGGAGGGGGCTATCAGGCCGGCCCCCTGTGAGAAGCTTCTCGAAGCTCCCCCAGCTCCACGTCAGCTCCACTTCTGT